CATGCCACAGCCCCCCTCCACCAAACCACCTATTCCCACCCCCCACTCTGTCTTTCTCTCCTGCTCTCTCATATACACACTCTCATGCTAACTCTCTCCCTCTATTTCCCTCCAAGGCATTCATTCTTAGGACCCCGTTCTGGGATTTGCTCTTCGTATCAAGACTCTCAACATTCAATTAACTTTCTGGATTCACGGCTGCCGAATCACCTCTGGCTTGTCAATCAAAGTCGTACAGAGGCATGATGGTAGATGCTGTTGGAGAAGCCCCCTCTATGTTCTCATCCCTGGACCCTGAAGAGACTAACCTGGAGCCTGGATCTCCTGGAGCCTGCTCCTGTAACATGGGACACACTAGGGGTCTAGGCCATCAACTCGACAGAACTAATCACAGTTACAATTGTGACAAACAACCAACAATAAAAACTACATCTGACACTTGGGATGTGATAGAGACACAGAAATTAGGATCTGCTTTTCTGTGGAGCTTTTTTTTTGCTTTTGTGCTTTCGAGTAATTACTGTATTCCTAAGTGTCTACTTTATTTTATCCTTCAACAATTCACTGTTGTACCTTCCCGGGTAGATAAGGGCTGTTTTTTATTTTTTTTTCCATTCTCCAGAGGTAGCTCGAGATGCTTCAAGCTTGCTTACACCTTGAAACTTCTTTCCAGGCTGTTTATTCCACAATTGGTCAGAGTGTTACCGTCCCGTGACTGTAACTAACTTTAAAAAGTTTCCTAATGCGCTAATCTGAATCTTCATCTCAGTTTAGAATACAAGGCATCTCTGTCAATTGCATTGCCACTGTTACCAAGTCCACTGGTACCAAGAGTAAAACATTTTGTGTCACATCATGTGTAATGAAGTCATTTGCACCTTATCCTGTTGTCGGGACAAGGCCATTATTAAACTTAGAAGTAATTAAAGATTTCTAATAACCTTTGTGCTGCCTTGATTTAGCAGTCTGGTGCCTCTCTGTGTAAGGACATAAAAATGTGGCTAAGAGCTCCCTCTGATAAGAGACAAAGTAAAGATGTATCAAAGCTAACAGTGTAATGATACAGTATATTGCGCACATGGACTCCATCAAGTCTGTACTTTGTTTTCTTCTCAAACCCACGGGTTCAAGGTCATGATCTATCACCCAGAGGAAGATCCCCCCAATTAGGATCTGTAAGGTGGGTACCAGAACCAAACCCAACAGCATCACAGCCAATCACCGACTTGTCGTATTTTGACAACAAGAACCCAACTTATTTAACTAGTTAACTGTTACCCCAAGAAGACAAACTGTGCAGAGACTGTTTTTAAAGATTTTAACTTTGGCAGAGCTGTCTGAAAGTCATTGCAAACAGCTCTGCCAATGCAAGGTTGGCTCTTTTTTTCTCTCTCTGGCCCTCGGACCCTGCCAGGACAGAAGAAGCAGCTGCCATGAACCAATCCAGCCAGCTTCATCTTAGCAGTGGGAAAACTAACTTATCTTTAAGTATAAATGTCTTTATTTAAAGTATAACTCTCAGAATTGAACTATTATTCCAAACAGATAGGATGCTTAGTTCATGATAGTACTGTATGTGCATATGTACTTGTATGTGAATATCAATGTGATGTAATAATATGAGAAAGATAGAACCTAAGATTAACACAGTAACTACACAACCGCTTCTGCACACATCAAGTCTACTAGGAAATCACCTTCCTGATGAGACCTGTTTCTGTTAGGGCTTAAACATATCTGGATGTTTAAGCATATCTTCATTTAATCAGTTAGACCAAAAGCTGGTGTGAGTTCATGTTTGAGATATTCCTCTGATGTGCAGCTTATATAGAGACTTACAGAATGTATCTACTTACACATTGATACAAAGCTGTCTTCAAAGTATTTTCATATACCAAAATAATATGGTGTTGTACAGCACATCACGTCCTTCAGGTACATCCACAAATGTCCTCTTAGTTGTAAAGGATAAAAGACTAGAGTGTGGCACTATCAAGTTGTAACCACCCTGAAGCTTCTCATTTTTAGACTTGTAGTACTGACATCTGGGCTGTCTCATTTCTTCTTTCACTAAGTTTCTATTTGCATAAGACATCATTGGCATAAAGTCTTTTAAAAGACGTTAAGTTACCATGATAAAATGCCATTCTGGATTTTCTAACAAACCAGAACTATTAATAACATTTTCCACAGTATACAGTATACTGTATACAGTACATGCCGTCTAGGAGCCATGTTTTTAAATCTACTTTTTAACATACAATTTTACTCATTTTCTTATGTGTTTGAATCAACACTGTTAATTTAATATTGAGAAATGTCTTTTGCTAACAATGTGGCTTTAATCCATATGAAATGATGCTTAAGCTTTAGCTACAATTCATAAAAAAGACTTCAGACTTCATCATGAGAAGATCTGAATGTCTTAAGAACACTAATTTCAGAAGAGCTTACTGTAAAAGAAAGCTGTGCACTCTACCTCCAAAACTCTTCAAGTCACAAAGAATCATAAACCTAATGCTTTGAGAATGGTTTCATGAATAGCAAGGTCATACTTTGTACAAATAAGAATAAGATATGGAAAGGGTATTCAAAATGCAACAAGTGCTACCAGTTCTAGTGTTTATAAGCAGTGTTTTTATTTTAAATGCCTCTTTGGATTTAAATTATTAATTATTAATGAGAATATAACAAATGTAATTTTATACAGTTCAAGTTTCTGAAGGACAATAATGCTTTTAGTCTTCTTATTTGTATTTTCATGAGCAATAAAATCTGAACATGGTGCCTTTGAAATAGAAACACCATAATCTAGTAGATACATGTATTTCTCCAGGTATTATTCTCATTTTTAAAACGGGAAAAGATTTACAGGCCAATGCATTTCGCTGTTAATCCTTGTGTGATATCAATTGTTTGCCAGTCTGTTACATATAAATATAGATTGAATACACATTCATATCTTTGTCGCAAAATAATGTGCATGTTTTAACTCAGATCAAAGCTAGGTACAGAAGTTGTGAACTGAATCATGGTCTATAAACCACAACATCATTGATATGACCTGCAGTTTTACAGGTGAAATCATCAGTATGAAACAAAATGTTAGTATAGAGCTGTCTGTAAGGTCAGTAAAACAGCACACTTATCAGATAAAATTTACTCCTTTCCATTTAAGATAATCTGAATAAAGGTGATGGACAAAAATATTACATTTTATATTACATAACCTAATTTCTGCTGCTTAAAATAAAATTGCTAGTTTCTACTAGATGTGCTTACACTTGACATTTGAAATACTGAAGTGCCCATTCTCTTTCCCTTATTTATAGACATTAGACTCAGCTTTTTGATAGATACGGTACAGCTTGTTAATCATGTACTGTACCAGCTAATTTAATCCCCTCTTCTTATATAGGGTACAACATCTGTTAAACTGATAAACTAACACAAGTTTTGCAGGATCAGATATTAGCTGGAGCATAAAGTAAGTCTGAGTGTTCTGTGATTGTGGGTGTACAGTATATGTGCATTGTTTAGGCGGTCATAATTCAGCTTTGTAACCATGCTGTCAGACATGGAATTTTACATAATCTGAATTTATATTCCAAGTACGAGCTCTTTGTGCATCTTGTATGACTTATCTGGGCAGCATAAAAAATAAATATTAAAACAAAACACAAGAGAGGAATTGCATTATAAATTGACAATTATTCATTCTTTAATATACCAACTGTTGCTAACCTTCCATTAAGTTCAGTACTAAATTCATACAAAAGTAATCATAATTTTCATTAAGGCTGCAATTCACTTTTCAAAGTACTGTACCTCAAAATGTAATAGATAAGCATAAACATCTCAAGTCAGTTCCCAATGTAATGTAGAGTAGATTCACTGGTATATTCATTTTAATACAATTAACATATCATACATTTTTTCTCATAAATAAACCAATTATGAGGCAGACCGACAGGTTTTGTATAGTGTTACTATGAAAAGACGTCCACTTTGCATTTTAATTGTACTCATTGCAAGTAGTTCTTTGACAGAACAATCTTCAAGTGTGCTTGGTCACATGACCCTACCCATTAACTCAAAAGATTGTACTCCACTGTGGAAATTACCTATTGTCTGTATGCATCAGAAAGCGTGGTAATGGTTTCACGCTAGTTTAACGTACAGTAATTGAGGTGAACACTAGGACACCAATAACTCTTATTTCAACAAACATTATAGATCATTTCAAACAGACACTCAAGGGCAGGGACAGTTACCTAATCAGTCCCAATGCTGTACTTCAAAAAATATAGTTTTTCCTCCAAAAGTAGCAACCCCTACTGTAATATCAGACAAAGCTTTTTTGATTTTCCCTCTAATTTCAATGATTTCTTATTAAAAAAGGCTACACATGCAGTATTTGAATGTGATTATGTCTCATTTCATAGTAAAACTAACCAAATATTACAGGTCTATGAGTTTTTTATTGTGTTATTTTTAACAAGTAAGCAAAAATGCTTTTTAAGTCAACTGAGACCATATTCTCATTTACAGCATTTATCTGATGACCTAATTTTCAAGCAGAATTTGACTGGACCAGAAACTGGACTGAAACACCTTGCTCCAATGTACTGTACAACACCAGAGTCCCATCATTAACTAAGCAGGCAAAAATATATTTTTTGTGTATAGGAACAAGTAATAGGTTTATTCCATGCTGAAAAAAAGAAGAAAGAGAACACAACGTTTCGGCCGTGGAGCCTTCTTCAGGTGTGGTTTTTTGTGTATATACTGTACAATTATTGTCCTCAGAGCTTGATTGGACACTAAGTCTGATGCTATGTACAGTATGTTACAGTATCTTTATGTTGTTAGCAGACTATTTTGTAATAGGGGCAAAATTTCACTGCTACCTTTCAGATGTTTTCAACACCTCTTTCATTTATGTCCCATGCCTTCAGCCAGACAGTGTTATGTGTGTCGGCACGATCATCGTGACTCACCTCCCTGGTCCGTGGTGATGGTGATGGCAGTGACCGGCCGGGGGAAGGAGCTGAACTCAGACACTCCGTTGAGGGACTCGATCTCAAAGGTGTAGTTGGCGTGGGCGGTAAAGTCCAGCACCGTGACTGAGGAGTTGGTCAGGCCCACGGGCCGTGGCACGAAGCGCAGGTCCCCACCACACAGCTCACACTCCCGGGGCCCTGGGCCACACTTCTTGCACAGGACGTTGTAGGTCAGGTCCTTCCTGCCGCCCATATCGCTGGGCGGGCTCCACTCCAGGAACAGAGAGGTCTCGTTGATGTTGAAGATGACATTCCGTGGGGGGGACGGAGGCCCTGGGAAAAGAGGATTAAGATGACATGTGTTGGATAAAAATAAATACTGATGACAACATCGGTTATGGAGGGATTGATGTGATGTACTGACAGTAAAGACCAAATAATCTGCGAGCTCCATACTCACCACATGATGACCCAGCAGCCCTGCACATTTGATAAAATATCAAAATCAAAATCAAAAATAGCAAAATCTTTTACTATGAAAAACCTTTTTCAAAACTCTGCTCCACATTGATTCTTTCCATGCAGAGAAGAGAAGTTAAAAGAAGTAGGAAACAACATGTTGTGTCAAGAAGCATACCCTCTAATTGGGTAGTTGTAAGCAGCGGTGTACCACAGGGTTCTGTCTTAGGTCCATTGCTCTTCCTGATCTATGTACAGTCTATCAATAGTTCCTGATTCTGATAAACAGTAGTTAGCAAACTAACTAGGTTTGCAAATGATGCAAACTAAGGAAGGGTGGCAAAATAAAAATGGCATCAAGTAAATGATAAAATGTTGAATTGAAAGTCATGGATGGACTTTGCCAATGAAATTTAACAAAGTGATCCATACTGGAAGTAGAAACACACACAGCACACTTTGCATGGGTGATTGAGGGCTGCAGGAAGCTACACACAAAAGGGATAATGATTATCAGTTGTCCTCAACAAGGCAACGAGGAGCAGGAGAAAAAAAAATCACACAATGTTTGGATACACTTCAAAAATTGTGGGAAATTTAAATCAAGGGAAGTCATGTTCACGGTTTATAATGCTTTAGTAAAATCTCATTTATAATTTTGTGTTATGATTTACTGCAGTTGCCATACCACAAAAATATATTAAAGCCTTAGAAGGAGTTAAATGAAAAGCAAAAAGAATGATTCCTCGTGTCAGGGGATAATTATATAAGGACAGGTTAAAGAAGCTAAACCTCTTCAGACTAGAGCAAAGGCGATTAAGTGGCGATTTGATCCAAGTATTGTATATGAAGTCTTAAATTGTATAAATTAGGTCAACACAGCAAACTATTTCACACTCGGCAGTGAAATGAAAACACGGTGTCACAATTTGAAATTGAAAATGGAATTCATTTAGGATGGAGAATAGGAAATGCTGGACTCTATTAAGAAATGTCTGCATAAAAGTTTAGATTCACTTAGTTATGGTGTTGAGACAAAGCTTGTGAATGCCAATATGATTATGGGCATTACAATTTCTAACCTTGATAGCCTTGTTCAACTTAAAACTGCTATTTCTTAAATAACCAAATGGGTATATACTGTATTTACAAAAGCTTTGTACTGTAAATATCTTTTATTTACTCAGGAACAAGTAATAGGTTTATTCCATGCTGAAAAAAAGAAAAAACTGAACACAACATTTCGGTCGTGGAGCCTTCTTCAGGTGTGAGAGAGACAGGGAAGTAGGCAAAGGTAAAGTAGCGGGAGAACAAAGGTGAGAGAAGGTTCTTAATGACAGACTACTGTTCTTTTAAATTTTCTCCATTCATTGGAAGTTACATTTCACAGCTCTCTGCACCCATTCTGACTTCACACCTTTTGATTGGCCTCTCTTTCTGTCCCCTGCTCCCGCCTCTCACTCCTCCTCCCTCCCAACCTTTGTTCTCCCGCTACTTTACCTTTGCCTACTGCCCTGTCTCTCTCACACCTGAAGAAGGCTTCACGGCCAAAACGTTGTATTCTCTTTCTTCTTTTTTTCAGCATGGAATAAACCTATTACTTGTTCCTTTGCAGCTTACGCAGCTACCCACCTGAACTATTTTATTTACTCTATGACTCTACTTTTAGTACTTTTTATGTACATACTGTATGTTTTTTCAGTGAAATGTTATATAAAAGAGATAATAAGGCCAGTGTTTTGGAAAGGTTTGCCCCTTGAATCTGGAAACCTAGTGCACATTATACAAAAGGTGACCTTTAACCTTACAATTGTACCACTTGGGCTCGTAATGAAGTTATCAGACACCTGAGCATCTTAACCACATAGTCCCCTTCCCTTATAATTTCCCATATATGCACTGAATGGGAACTGAAACACAATTGTCAGGTAACGTCTCTCTCAAACAGTCAGGAATCCATAAAGTGTCTATCTAGGATCTAGGAGTCAGGTGACAGGTCATTCTTTTACTTTATCTCAGGCTCTGAGGAGGATGTAAAGTGCTCTGTCCAGGAGAATCAAGGAAGGCGCATAATAGCTTCTCTACTAACACGTCACATGAATGAAAATGATTTTATTGCTTTTAGAAAATGAACAGAGCACTTGCATTAGACAGAACCTACAATTTACTGCTACAGTATTAGACTATTTGGTATAGACAACCCATGTTTGCATTGGTTTCCTCTAGGTGCTCTGGCTCCCTTCCACTGTCCAGAGACATACTGGCCAGTTAATTGGCATTTGGGAAAATTGGCCCTGGTGTGAGTTTGTGCCTGTGTTTGTGTGCCCTGCAATGGATTGGCATCCCATCCAATGTGTATCCTGCCTTGGATACACATTGGATAGGCTCTGGCTCCCCTGCTACCCTGTATTGGATAAAGCAGTTAGAAAATGGATGGATGGAACTGTATGCCCAACCTTAATATACTTTTCAACTCAAGTGACGACTAGGTGGTGCTCCATATAAATCCTTTGAGACAGAGGATCTCTTTGCCCAGGGCAGGTAGGAAGTACTAGGAGGCAGAGAAGTACCTGAAATTAGTGGAGCATCATTTAACAAACATTTTCAAAAATATTATTCTCCCCTTTGCTGAAACTAATTAAAAATTGAAGCCTCAATTAAACAAGAAAATAAATTAAGCCTCTGAATGCAATTAGGATAAGGGCTTAATTAAAAGTGAATTGTACTGAATCCTGAAGTAGTATAAGAGATATATATGGCTGTTCTAATTACAGGCGATTTAATATTTAAATTGGTTGGAATGCTTAATTGTAATCATTGGATTAATTTCACTTAATTGGATACCTCATTGTGCAGTTCTCAATAGATGTAGTGGCAGAGTGTCCTTTGTAAGCAAAAGGTCACACTAAACCAAAGAGACACATTTATTTTGCAATTTAGAAGCCGAGCTCTTCTTCTCCTAGTAATGATGGTGCTTTTAAACAAACATGCACAAGCTCCTTAAAAAGGACTAGATGCCTTAATGAAAGCTCTTCAGACACAAAGTGAGAAAACTGTGCCGGAGAAAGATCCCCACAGTGTGTCTGATCTTTCCAATAGGCTAATCATGCATTTTTGTCATTGCTGCTTGACAGAGATCTCTATCGAGAATATAACCAGTGCTACCACTTCAGGATATCAGATAATCTAAATGGATTTGACATCTGTCATATTGAGAAAAAGACATGCTTCTTCAGGCCAACAAGTTTAATGTTTCTCCCAAAGCTTCTTTTCCTGCAACTTCTGACGTCCCCAGTGCAGACAGGTTTGAAAACAAACATGATAAAAGCCATCTGAAAAGCCAGACGCTCCTCATCAATTTTATAGACATGTTCTTACTGCTAAAGTTCATCACATCTGGCTTATTTTTCATAATTTCGACTTGCTGAATTTCATTGAGCAAAAATTATTTTATCAAACATATAATTTTAAACATTTGTTTTAGGGAATTTTTAAAAATGTAAGTCTGAATACTTTTTCTTACTGTGGTAGTAAAAGATACCGCAATTCACATATGATCACACTTCAGGCCAAGTATCATTTCCCTAGAGCACATCTTACTGGGCATATAGGGGGTAAACTGTAAAAATAGTCTTACGCAAACCAAATAATTCACATTCATCTAGTGTGCTTTGTGCCTGAAGGATGAAAAAGAAGCTGCTGGCTGCCAATCACTCTCGAGAGCGAAGTAATAAGCCCTCTAGCATCCATCTGTTCACAGCCAGACCCATAAGCCACAGTGACTGGAAGTCTGTTCAGCAATGGCCTCTGCTTTGTCTCTGCCCTGCTGCATCTGAAGTACAACAGGCTGCCCGTATTAAAAGCATCATGTCATCTATAAATAACCTTTACTCAAGATCACAGAGCACAACACAATGGGCCATTGTAAACAACTAGCCAGAATGCCACTTTGTTCTTTTACAGGACTGATCTGGCTGCTATCGCAGATCTTTCTTCCAGGAGCATTCTAGCAGCCTTAGTACATTGTCCATCAAATGAAGCATCCAAGCTAACACACATTCTACCATGAAATTCTACAGCTCTCTATTCTGCCAACCTTTGAACATAAAGCAGAAAACATTTTTGGCTTTCTTTTGGCCTTCTCATTTTATATGCATCCAAATCATTTTTATATTTGTGATATACGTACAGTCATTGTTAGATATATTCTTCATTGCATACTTACAAAATAAAAGTTGTCAGAAAATGTCAGAAAGTATAGAAATCCAATTAAATCCAGTTTGTAGACATGATGTTGTGCATCACGCTGTAGAGTAGGTCTCTTTTCTGAATATGTAATATGACAAAGAGGCTGCTGTTTTCAATAATTAGTCAAACATTTTTGCCATATTCACTAACATACAGTAAAAGGCAAGTACAGTACTTGTACCGAGATGGAGTTGTAATAGATTGGTGCCTGGTAGTCAATTTACAAAAGTTTTTCCAAATGAGAATATGCAATTACTCTAAACTCCAGTTTGGAATCCTATGTAAACACTGAATACTTTTCACTGATTAAACTATAATTTAGAACAATATAATTTTAAAAATAAACTACTTTCTATGAGTTACTAGAGTGCCACAATATGACTCCAATTGTTTATTTTCATGACAGATCACTTTTTGTATACTGCACAGTACATGGCTTTGTAACCACCTGCAAAGTCTTATGCATCACCCTATGTAAGCTTCTGAGGGTCTTTTGTTCATATTCCTAAAAGAGCTTCATTACAGGACTAAAATGCTAAAACGTTGAAAAGCAACACAGTCAGTGACAATAGCTGAATCTGAGGAACACAACTGTGAGCCTGAAGAGACCAAAGACCAGCTACCTTCGGACTCAAGGGCCCTCACACCAATTTACATGGCGATTAAATAGCTTTTAATTGCTGATAAATTATTCCAGCTAAACTGTGATTTCATGCAAATATTAAGCTGTAATGACACACAGTGAATCATTTATGAAGATTCAGAACTCAGAACAATGAGAGACAATTAATTCTAATTCTAAGACTCTACAAAATTATATGTCATCCAGGCTTTATGAATGCAGTCTGATTGCATTGTTATCATTTATAAATTATACGACCATCATGCAGAAAGCAGGAACACTTGGCAGCCGCTGGTTGTATACCAACGAGCTGAATTCAGCTTCTTTTAAAATTGAGACTTCGTCTTAAGGCACAGTTGGCCAAACCGAATTAATTTATTTTGGACAGTTACTGCTGTGCGTGAGGTGTGTTCCTTTTTTAAAGACGATAAGATTAAAACGCATTTTATATTTTAAGTAAATCCAATTTGGTTAATAGTTTTTGTCTTTATTTACTAATATTTGAGTTGACATCAAACCATTCAAACAACATTTCTTAATATTATTTAACCAAATGGTCTATAGTGCATCAACACCTACAGGCTGGTACCGTAATAAAGTACCAGTACTATCTCTACCTCTAATGGGGAAGGATGTATATTTTTGGTTTATCTGGCTACTGTTAAACACCATTTGTAAAGTGCAGCATGGACTCTACAGCTAAGGAGGAATTTCATAGTTTAAAACCATGAACAACAAATAAAAACAAACTTGTAGCTCCAGACTTCAAAGCCCTCACTGCTTATTAGACTCCCAAGGGCTTTGTAAAACATGAGTTGTGTGTTGTCCTTTTCTCCTTTTTTCTCTGGATTAGTTGATACAACACTGACTGGTCTGTATGAAAACAACTATACCACTTACTGAGTGTCTCAAATCTAGTTTGTAACCACACCAGCGATGATTTACTCTGCTTTGTAAAGTGTTGGAACTATTTATGTTTAGTGTTGTACTGCATGTTCTTCTCAAAGTTACTGCATCAAATGAGGCACCTTTTAAAGAAACCACATGCTTTGAAATGCTGATTTTTGCAATGGATTTAGTTCAATACATTTGAGTCAAAAGAATGCCTGCTGTCTGATGAGGTCAGTGGCCACAGAACAAGGAACTAAAGGGCTTCATTATTTTTCATTAGCGGTGGCTGCTCTCCTGCTGCTCCTTGGTCCTGAAAGACTTCTCATTTTGTGGGCACGCAAAATACAATAAGCTATGAAGATGAAATATTAAAATGTTGCAATCTATTTGTACATGCGTGGGTGGGAATTATCAGCATGTGTGCAACCTGAGCTTTAAAAATTTGCAAAGCTTGAAAGACTCTCATAGACTGACTGACATAGGCAAGACTGAACTTGCAGATGACGTAAAAATGATAATGATGATAATTATATCAGAAATATCAGTGATAATTATATCACTTTTGTTATCTCAAAGGTCATCGCCCTGAAGATCCAGGAAAGGCAGATTGGAAGTGATTGCTTACTCGTGCAGGCCATGGTCGGGGGGTCTTTCTCTGCCCTGAAGTACCCCTTTTCGCAGTGGCAGAACGGGGCGCTCTCGTCGTAGCTGAAACTGTGGGGTGGGCACTTGGAGCACTTGATGTTCCCAGCGAAGGCCTTGTAGAACCCGGTTCTGCAAGCTGATGGAGAACAAAAATCCAAGTCAAGAACAGAGCTTGCCTGCTTCTCCCAATGATTATCGGGAGATTATTAATTCGTATGTCCACAGTACTGGGAGTAAGTATGGAAACACAGGAAATGACATTATAGTGTTTATATTGAGTTTTGTGTAATATGAAATGTTACCTGATATCGTACAGGTATCCATACTGTTACATAGCATGAAATATGTGACTTGCGGAGTGGTAGTATTTTTGTTACTATTGTTGGACAGTGACTTTAACCTCAGTGTCTGAAAGGGTCAGACATGTAGTAGATCTGACTGGCTGGCCTGTCAGGAATTAAAATAACTCCTGATCTGTCTCGATAATATTTAAATGAATCATTCGACTCCTGGCATCTCTGCTTATGCTGGAGAGCCTGTGAAGACTGGTGTCATCACAGTTAAATCCCTATTATATGGGGTTCATTGTCTACATCTGAGTGAATTTTAGGGGTCCTTAGGTAGAAATTCAGAGGGGGATACCACTGTGGAGAAAGGGTGAATTTTAATGGGGGGGTTGCATGTGGGGAACAGTGATTCTTAATGTTTTTTATTTTTGTTGTTAATGCGATAGGAAAAATTGTGTTTTTTGGTAACTTTCTTCACTTCTACAAAATAAAACAGTGAAATTATAACAATACTAAAAATGGTCCTGGAAAGCTATAAAGAATAGAACACACTGTATGTTGTATAAGTGGATGTCAGAATTTTTGCATTTGTGATGAACAGAAGCCAGAAATTTAAGTTCTCTGCTAGCAAAGTAATGGTTAGTCTATTATTATAGAAATTTAGAAGAACTTCAGATCCTTATTACCATATACTGTGGGATTAACACAAGACTCTGCTAATTTGAATTTTAAAGCCTGTCAGATTTCACCCTGAATGACCAGGGCTTTAAGGGCTGAGTAATGAGCCTGTTGGAGTCTCTATTCCATCTGTTCTTCTGGCCATTTAGTGAACTATAATTGATAGGGGAAGCAAACGTACCTCTCCTATATACATCATTAATTTATTCATCAGATCCTTCATTTCTGTAAGCAACGTCTTTTTCATAAGGCAGCATGACCCAAGAAGACATAGGATATGGCGTTGAAACAATTTAATTGACACATGAAGAGCTCTCACTGATTTCAGAAACAATTATGATAAAATCCCAAATGATACTGCATGTGTGTCGCAGCATAACCAGCTACTGTATGAAGTGTGTCTCACCACTTCCCAAGATGTCAGAGACAGTTGTGGTCATTCAGCACCTCAAACTTGTGGGTTTGGCAAAATACTGTTGTGTTAAAGACATGGGACTGGTTGGAAACTGATGCCATTTGGGAAAAGCAAGCACTCTTGTGTCTGTATACTATTTGGTAATCCTGTTATTCCACTTTGGAGCTCAGACATTTCTTTTTAAAAGAATTCAACAACCTTAAGACCCTTTGAGCACTGCCCCTGCTGTGCAACTTTGTGACCAATTTCAAAAACATGCATCATTTACTACTGCAAGAACAGAGGCAAGCATCCTCTGCAACCTGCTACTGTACATCTGCCTAAACCAATTTGGACGCCTGTGTTTTCCTTATTCATTGCTGTGTGGTTATTAGCCTTTTGGTTATTAGGTCCTTTTCGGATGTAGAAATTGAAATAAATGTCACATTAGGCTGGAGCACAAAGGAACTCCCGCCCCTCCTACTTCTTTTTGTCTGCCGCTCTTAGGAGGAATGTCACCGAAATGAATATTATTTCACAGCCTCCCTGGTCCCCTGTTAATTATATCAAAGGGTTCTGAGACAAAGGCCCTCGCCCCTGTGAACGTTTAGAGAATCCTATCCTTCCATTACCTGTCACCATACACATCGATTTAACAAGGTAACACAAGTGAGAGCGATTTGAGGGCTTCACCTTGAGATGCTAAGGGCCCCGTGCCTTGCATTTTTCTCCTAATAAACTAATAGAGTCAAACTGAAGCCCTCAACCCAGCACTCTCTGTGCACGATGCCAACAGTCAGGAGAGGCTGAAATGCAGTAGTGTTGTTATGGCAAGCAGCACCTTTTCTAGAAACCAAGGTTAGATGTTCTATTAACCCCCTGGTGGAAAAAGTACCTTGGTGGGGAGAGCAGCCATCAGTGGTGAAAGCATTCATTTTTCTTTCTATGAAGTTGCTGGTAAATAACTAATCTCAGTTGTGTTTTTCATTCGCCCTTGAACAACAGACAAATGATTTGACTGACAAGAGAGACCTTTTCTGCTTTTGGAATTCTGAAAAGATTTATTCTTTTTTTTTCTTAACCATGAGAGACCCCTACCTGTTCTTTTAAACAAATTAGACTCAGTCAGTAATGTGTTTGCAAAAAGAGTAGCTGATCAGTTATAAGGATCGGTATGTCAGACTTTGTTGTTAATAGCTGACACTGAAAAATGAAAAAGAAGCTATACATAGTACATTCATCCATCCATTTCTTTAATGCTTTTTCCAATTCAGGTTAAGGGTGTACTGGAGCCTATCGCAGCAAGCAAAGGGCACAAGGCAGGGTAAACCCTTAACAGGACTCCATCACAAGCCACAAAGACAGACACGTACACAGTCACACCAGGGCCAATTTTCCCAGAAGCCAATTAACTTACCAGTATGTTTTTGGACTGTGGGAGGAAACTGGAGCACCTGGGGGAAACTCATGTGAACATGTGGAGAACACACAAACTACACAGGTAGCACCCCATGGGCAGTAATGCTAACCACTGTGTTACCCAATGCTATATACATATGTGACTAAATCATGTGTTTACTTCAGAAACATTTCTAAATTTTCTAATTTTACAGTTTTCATTATTACCTGCAATTTCTACACTGTACATTTTTGCTAAGGATGAAGATTTGCACTTTTTTATCATCGTGCTGATGGAAGTATTATAACACTTGCGAAAGCTACATTTTCTCCCACCTTTACGCCTATTTTTAAGCCTACAAATAAAAAGGAGGAGAGCATCTGTCTGGCATAAGTTGAGGTTGTACAATAACTTTATCAAATGCACTCAGTAACACAAGAGAAATTACTCTCAAGTCACAAGAGAGAAAACTGTGGTTGAAGGTTGATAATATGCAGACCTGGGGCTGCCATTTTAAATGTGTGCTCTCTCCAAGGTTAATTAAACTTGGAAAACACCCAAATCCACATTTCTTCCAAGCATTCAGATCCTAGAATGGAATTCCCCTCCTGCATCCTGTAATTTCTAGAGAACTCTGCAGTTTGACATGAACGAGACCTGCAGGTGCAGTTGCAGTGCAGTTTCCTTGGAACGACCATGTTACTCTCATTTGCGCAAGGCTGGGATCTTTCCAGGTGAGTTTGAAGATGAATGATTTTAAGAGAAGCACAATTCTGCAGCATTTACTAGCAGAACCACATGAACAAATGTTGCAGAATAGTTCAGCTCTTGAAATCAAAGAGGACATGACGAGGTGTAAGCGTGTAAGATGCCACAGAGATACAAACTGCAAGGTTCCGTTCCTTATCTCCAACATTTTTTTTCAATTTAGATCTGTGTGCAACTTAAGAAATCCATTACACATTTGCGGACCTTCACTATTATACTTTTTAATCCTTCAGGAAAAAGAAAAAGCTGTTAGCCTTTTTGAATGTGATGCTTGTCACCAAAATTCTCATAGTATTTCATACATGTATACTAGGTGGATAACCTTGGATCATGCTGTAATCGTGGTACATCCTTTTGTGTACCTTCTGTATACACCTTCTGTATATTTCCAATAGTAGACTGGAAACCAAGTTTTGGTTTTTGTTTAAATAAGAACCCAGAGCGGTATCAAAAAGCAATGGGCACAAGACACAACCACACCCTGGACAGGACACCAGTCCATTACAAGACACAAGACACGACCACACCCTGGACAGGACACCAGTCCATCACAGGGTACGCATACACAGGGACAATTGCGAGACAACATTTAAGGTGTCCAGCAAGCCTTTGAAAAGTGGCAGGAAACTGGAACACCTGGAAGAAAAAATCAACAACTCCATGCTGCCATAGAGAACAAACAAACTCCACAAGAATGTTCCGCAGGCCAGAACTGAACTCAGGACTCAAGAGTTGTGAGATGCAAATAACATTAATTCCTTGTAATATCACAGGAACTTGTTATAGTTACATTATTGATGTGAGTGTTTGTTAGTCATACAAAAGTTTTGAAATGTTATTTACAAATGTGTAAAGTGTACTGCATTGGCAATATTTAGTGGCACAGCTGGTGATTATATTAATCTTGAGATGTGCATTTTAATTGTGTAATGTTATGTTCTAGTGAATACATGCATATGAAAATGCATTAAAAGAAAACAGTGATATTGGGATTTGATTTAAGTCCTGTTTTGATATTTTCTGGCTGTCAGGTTCCTTTTGTAACAAATGTTTTTCAATTTTCCCAGAGAGTGAAGTAAAACAGTTCTGACAGGTGTAAGAGAACGGCACCAGGAGGAACAGTTCCTCCTACTGCTAGTTCGCTGTTTTTCATAGCCTGATGTTTTCTTGGTGAACAGCTGTACCCTCTATAAGATGTCAGATGTGTCTTCCTAAAGTCAAACACTTTAGTATTATAATGCAGATAACTTCCACTTACAGATGCACTCTGAATTCAGAAATTTCCACCTTTAGTATTATGAATGCACACTTAATGATATAGCTAAAACTATTTTCAGCACATTTTAAGGTGGAGCAAAAAATGTAATGTAAATAAAAGAACTGCATTTAGATCCACAGGACAGATATTTAATATACATTATGCAATGTTTTTTTAAGGAAATGGCAGAAACATTTAATAAATGACCATGAATGAAAGACCATTAAAATGTATAGAATACAAGAAGGGAACATTGAGGTTAAAATTGTCTTTGTAAATGTTGTAAATGTCACTTCACCTAAGCTCATCTAGCTGAATATACACAGTACATACAGTATGTATTTACTAATCA